TATGGGCTGGGGCAGGACAAATAGAAGATGAGCCTGGAGCATCTGGTGTTTCTAAGATGGAAGAAAATGCTCAATGAAGCAAGGGAGGCTTGTCAACAGGACTCAGGGATCAACCGGAAGGAGCTTCAGTGGCCAAAGCCAAAACAGTTGGAGCAACAAAATAATGATAGTCCTGGGTTTGATTTTGTTTATTTGTTTTACCCATAATATAAAATAAATCCATCCATTTATTAGTTTTCTGCTGCTGTGTAACAGACTGTTAAAAGTTAGCAGCTTAAAACAGCACTTAGTTCCTAGGGTCAGGAGTCCAGGCACAGCTTCATAACTCCGTCTTCTGCTCAGGATCTCACAGGGCTATACTCAAAGTCTTCTCGTGGTCAGTGTTCTAATCTGGACACTCAACTGGGTGAGAATCTGCTTCAGTTTCTTCCAGATTGTAGCAGTAGTCACTTCCTTGTGGTTGTAGGAGTGTATTAGCTTTCCATTACTGTAACAAATACCTGAGATAAATCACCTGAGTAAAAGGTTTATTTTGACTCACAGCTTTCGTTCGGTCTTCAGTCTGTGATAGTTGGTCCCTTGCTTTGGGCCCATAGTGAGGCAACCCAGTGTGGTGGTAGCATGTGGTGGAACAAGCTGCTCACCTCATGGCAACTGGGAAGCAAAAAAAAAAAAAGAAGAAGAAGAAGAAGAAGAAGAAAGAACAAACTAGGGACTGAAATCTCACAGTCCCCTTCATAGGCATATCCCCAATGACCACGACTTCCCACTATGCCCTGCCTCCTACAGGTACCCCACCTCCCAACAGGGCCAAGCTGGGAGCCAGGACTTCACCACGTGGGCCTTTCTTTGGAGGACATGCCACATCCAAACTATAGCAAGGAGTGAAGCCCCTATTGTGTGGAACTCCTGTCCTCACCTGGTGACTCAGCTCACACCTTAGAAGCTTACTTTCTAGAAGGTCTAAGCCCTCTGTTGAAGTCAGGCCCAGCCTGTCGGCTGATCAGAAGCCTCAGTTACCTCTGCAGAATCCCTTCACTTCTTCATGAAGGTGTTCGTAAGGCATCATTCATTATTCCAGGAGTGGCAGTCCATCCTTTTGCCATGCTTTTTGGTTAGAAGCCAAGTCAGGTTCTGCCTCAGTGAAAAGAGGGGAATTACAAAGTGTGACTCATTGGAAGTCCTCCCTCCCGGGACGTATCTGCCACCGTGAGTTCACTTGGATATACATAAATGGTCTAATAAATAAATGAGGACACAGTGATTCTGTTCCTCAGAATATAATTCCAATTAATGAATGTAGAAGGAAAAAGGTAAACAGAATTACTAGGAGCACACACCTCCGTAGTAAATGCCTAAACAAGAGTTTTTTGTAACGGTTGCGAATATTGGCTTGTAAAAGTTTGAGGAGATGCAGGATTTGCATACTCTTACATTTGTCCCCTAACATTTATCAGTTTCGAAGAGGAAACAAGGAACTTTAAAGTAGATTTCAGCCTAACCCAGTAGTCAAGGTACACATCACCAGAAGTGGGCCAGCCAGCATCTGAGACCTCCTTAGAACCAGCTAAAGAGTGTGGCATTTTTGTTGAACATGTCCCAAAATGTATTTCAGTGAAATAGATCAGCCCAAGCCAGATTGGGTAGCGTTCTACAAAGTAACTCAGGGGTACTCTTCAAAAGTTGCCAGGTCATAGAACATAAGAAAAGACAGGAGGACTTTTATAGGCTAGAGGACATGGGAGAAATAACTAAATGCAGGGCACAATGATCCCAGAATAAAAGGATGTTTGCTGGAAAATTCAACAAACTCCAAATAAATTCTGTAAGATAAACTTCCTATCTTGATAATCGTATCATGGTTATATAAGATATTTCCATTAGGGGGCTGTGGGCTGTTGGGCTGTTGGATAATCTTCACAATTTTTTCTAAATCTAAAATTAATGAAAAATAAATGGACTTGTTCATTTGTTTTTTTAAATCAACATAGATTTAGGATGAGCATTATAACTCAGCAAAAGTAGAAATTCAGGTAACTTATTGATGCCTCCTTTACTTGTCACATGAAGATTTTGCACAGTGATGCATACATGGTGATTGGGAAGTAAAGTCAGATGTGAGATGGTGGGATTTTCTAGTTCACAGTAATTCTTCTGGCAGTGTTTTACTTCATCATGTCATCATCATCACAGACAAAGGGAGTTCAGGGTACATTTTAAAAGAAACTCAGTTTGAATGTTTAAGAACCGCATAAAGTTGGTTTGCTTACATGGCCATATTCTCTCTTAAAATCAACTACCAAACTTTCTTTGAAAGGTTGAATTTGTCACTGACCTGCCATACAGAAATCCGTTGTTCAGAAGGTGTTTACTTGATTTGGCTGGTTTGAAGGGATCTGAATTCTCTGCTTTGTATGAACCATGCACATGAGTGAGTCTCCTATATCACCTTTCACAGCCCCATTTTCTGAGTTAGCACCTGCTGTATAACACTCTTCGGGGATGAATTATCTCCTAGTAACTGTAGTTACCTCGTAATTAAGTAACTATGAGAAAAGAGAGATCAAAGAAAATGAGGAATTTTAAATGGCCTGGAAATAGCTATCCTTAACACCCAAAGATTCGTGTTTATTTTTCAACACAATGGATTTAATACATGGTTTTTCTCCATGTTCTGAAGGGAATCACTCTCAGAATTGCACCAAACAACTGTGAGTGGTGCTTGGCTGAGGCAGTATTTTATGAGTTGTGAGATGGGCTTCTTACATCCTTTTTTATTTTTCACTTGATATATTGTGTGGAAGGAGTAGCGCCTCGGGCAGGCACAACGTAAGCCTGGTGCCCTGTGTTAACACAGAATTACTGTTTGTTTTTACTGTCCTGAGTCTATGAATCCAGCCTGTCATGCAGAAGTGATCGTTATAATGTAAGCACTTAACTGTCCTGCCGCAGCTGATTCCCTAGGGAAACTTTAAAAGTCCGTGTTTGGTTGCAGAGTGCTTTAAATTTCTAAGTAGACTGTAGATTGTGACTGCAGGGAATTTCTTAGGAACCGTTTGACCCTGCTGTGGACACAGCAGCTTTTGTAGATCTGTAGCCAGTAACTTGCTCTTGAAATTTGTTTTGGTCCAGAATTTAGTTTTTACTTTATATCCAGTTAGTTGGTATTAATACTAATTTACTACAAAGTCTAAGACAAACCAATGTCAAGTAGATTCTGTGCCATTTGTCAGGACTTTCAGCTGCTAGTGAGGGGACTCATGGAAGAGCTCATGTCTCACGGCACCTGTTTCTCTGTGTCTGTCAACTTGGGTGTTTGGCTTTGGCTTTATCTGAGAACGAGCGCAGTGTGGAACACCCAGGACCACTCAGGAGTACAGCCTTAAGGCTTATGTCCACCTCTGAAAGTGAGATGCCTAACCCACCATAAAATTTGAGAATTGTTTTACAGTGATACTTTTAACAGCTATTTATACCTATTATCTAAACTGAAAATTATCTTCCTGCCTCTCTGGCTGTCAGATGACAACTGTTATTAGAGTGAGACATGAGTGGCAGTCCCCAGAGACTCCAGGCCTGAGACCCCATGCTGTAAAAATGGAAGGCATGACACTTGTTCATCCCAATCCCCAGGCCTGCCCCATGGCCTCCGCTGGGGAGCATCAGAGGTGGTCTTCAGGCATTGCCTCCTCTGCACAGTTGTGCTTCTTTTTAGCAGTGTATGTAACTATGGAAGAGTAGGACGTAGAGGAGCAAAGCAGTCAGGTTGAGCTGGCCCTGTCACATGACTGTTCCAGAGGGTGTGCAGAGAGAGATGTTGGTACGTGCTTCTCGCTCCCACCCGTGGTAGCAAGGGGAGAGAGCAGAGCATGCCCTGCGGGTTGTGCTGAATTCAACATTCTTCTTAATCCTAGTGTTTTAGTATTAGAAATGCATCTAACCCTCTGAGCCAGAAAGGGAGCTGAGGGGACCCCCTGCCTTGTGGTGCCTGCGTTTCTGCATCCTGTCTCCCACCTTGTGATGTACTGTCCCTCCTTTATCAGTGGAATAAGTACATTTTCCTTTGTCAGTAAAAAAGTGTGTTTTTCTCTAGTTCACATTCAGAGATTCGTTATGCTAAGGGAGGGACTAAATGAGTGAAAGACAGGATTCCCGTCCCAGGGAGCCCACGTTGATATAGGAAAAAGCCAAACTCATTGAAAGTTACATAGATGCTGTTACTGTTTAAGCAATAAAGATCAAAGGAGATGCATAATAATATTCCTTTCTTTAGTAATAACATATTCCATTGTGTAGTACCATTTTTTATGTTTCTTAATGGAGGTCTTCTGAGTTTGACTCTCGGGTTGATTACAAAACTTTTTAGGAATCTGTTACTATTACTGCATTAGTTGGATATTACCAATGAGTAATTGTTGGCCATTCTACATATCTGCTTACCTATTTGGCTTCACTGTTTTGAATTTTGTTGAATGTGTAGGGAGTGTATATCAAGCTACTTCAACTACAGGTTGATTGATCCATGAGTTTGGGGGCTTATTCAGTAACAAACTGAACTTTTAGCAGGTCTTTTTGGTGAGAACTTTATCATGTTTCCTCTTCATTTTTTAGGAAACAAACGAAATATTACATTCTTTTCAGCTGTGTCTTTTTCTATGTGGGCCGTGCCTTTTGTGACCATAAGAAATGTATGTATCTGGGGCTGGGGATGTGGCTCAGGCAGTGGCGCGCTCGCCTGGCATGCGTGAGGCCTGGGTTCGATCCTCAGCACCACATACAAACAAAGATGTTGTGTCCGCCGAAGGCTAAGAAATAAATATTAAAATTCTCTCTCTCTCTCTTTAAAAAAAAAAAAGAAAGAAAGAAAGAAATGTATCTGTGTCTTGTTTTGGGGGAGGGTTTTGTGTGTATGGTTTTTTTGTTGTTGTTTTTTTTGGGCACAATTGCAGTATTAACGAAAATGGTCCCCCCATCCCCACTTTCCCTCCTGTGTTTTACAGGCAGTCAGATGCCTCCTCAGCCACCTGGGAGCCAGTCAGAATCCAGTTCCCATCCTGCCTTGAGCCAGTCACCAATGCCACAGGAAAGAGGTGAGTCTTCGGTTCACATCCTACGCACTGATCATGCTTTGAGTATAGAAGGCTCATATGAGTTTTCTCACCCATTTGTCTTCTTACAGATAATTTTTTAAAAGGATGCTTATCAGATAAACAGAACTCTATAAGTAACAACAAATTTGGGGAGAAGGGATTCTTTCTTGCAGATTGGATTACATGTTACCAAAGTGTAATTCAAGGCCCAAAGAATCAGTGTGTCCACAAAACACCATGAAGTGTAGTCTGTGTTTGATTGTAGTCTGCGTAGTCCAGCTGGGTGCAGATAACTATGAGTGGCTCAATGTGGACGTCAGTCCTAGTAAAGTGAAGTGTGTGAGCACACGTGCACTCAGGCACACGTGCTGACCTGACTAGTCACTTGTTCCAATAGATTTAATGATAAAATTTAAACTCATATTTCAACTTATCATATAAAATTGTAAGATCTTCTAACTGGAGCAGACCTGAAAGCTCAGTGTACAGTTGAAGAAACTGAGGACTACGTTTGCCCGTGGTTTCCTCACTCCCAGCGTCTACTTAGAGACTGGGCTTTTCCTGAAGCCGCCGCCTCTGTGCTTCACTCAGTGCTGTGTGTCAGCCTGTGGTGCCTCTGCCTCCCCTGCACGGTGGTCCTCCTCCAATCAGCATTCTCTTTTGTGCCACTGCTCCTGTGGTGGTGGTGGTGGTGGTGGTGATTTTAATTCAGACTGGTGTAGACCAGGGCTTACGTCACCATGGGCTGCTGTTCCCAGTCACTTCCCACAGCCTGTGGGTCAAGCTTGTCCACCTGTCCACCCTGTTCCACAGGAGATGCCACTTTGTTCCATGTGGGCCTGGAGGCCAGGAGTTGCCTGCCGGCTAGGTAGCTGATGTCTAGAGGGCTGCTTGAGCCCTGACATTATGATTATTTCTGTAAGGACTGAAGAGATGATGATTTGCTGCTAATTAGACTTATGAGGTTTAAGTTATTTTACATATTAAAAATTCAGTGGCACATAATTTAGAAAGCAGTGCCATTAAAAAGATGGATTAGACTTATCTGTGTATCATTTGTGTTGAATGTTTAGTGGAATAAAGTGAATTTTTCATTTCCTAATACCTTTACTTATTAGCGTTTTTATTATAGTTTAAGGTGTAGTTAATACTTTAATTCCCTTATCAAGATAATACAGGGTGTTAATCATGGACTAAGTTAATGGTTCTCAAACTTYAGCGTGCTTGAGAGTTGTTGCAGGACTTAAAACCCATTGCTGGCCCACCACAGATTTCTGATGAAGACACTCAAAATCTGCATTTCTGACAAGCTCCAGGTACTGTGATGCACAGGGCTAAGGGGCACCTGGAGCAGCGCTGCCTGCAACTCCACAGTCTTTAACAGGCCTCATCATGGTGCGAACCTGAGCATTTGTTTCTGTGCCCTCTTGACGTGCTATATGTCGCTCTAGCCAGGTCCTCTAGGATTACTCATCTGTGTAAGCTCCTCCTTGGGCCCCATCGTCCTGAAGACCTTACAGACATCCGAGGACAGAGCATGCTCCAGTGCCATACTTGTGGGGAGCTTGCTGCTCTGTGTAGGGGGCGGGGGGGGGGCTGACCTTCTGTGCATGGCAGTGGGGACAGGATGGGGTAGAGGAAGCCCTGCATGGAGCATCTGTGGGCCGGGTCTAGAACCAATCTGGAGATGGCTGTCACCTCACTAATTCTCAACAAGGGCCTGTGGCAGCACTTACACTGGCACAAGTCTGTTGATATCACATGTCACAGGGTAAGTGCCCCTTATGTGGGATCCTGGAATGTAGAACTTAGGAGACCAAAGAGAAATTCTGTCAAATCTCCTCAACCCTGGCAACTGATAGGTGTTAAGATTAGGAAATGTGGGGAAGCAAGTATGAGGTCAGGATGACAATGGGGAAGCCTGGTTAATGTGACAACATGGGAAATCACCACAGCTGTCAACGCTTCCTCTGGTTGCCTTAGATGCTAAATCTGAATTGACTTTTTTTTTCGAGGGGGCACATATTCCCCAAACCTTTTCTGAAAGATTGTGCTAGAGACACTATTTGCATTCTCTTTTGTGCTTTTATTGGTTAGATAACCTCCTAAAAAGCAAAACTTCATTTCTTAAAATGACTACTATGTTAAATGATGCGTTGCCATACATGAGTTAAATTTTCTCAAAATTGGACAGCAAAGATYAAAAGAAAATGACTTTATTGTTTGTTCAAATTTAGGAAGAGATGTCAGCTCCTAATAACATTTGCTATGATGGTAAAAATTCATTTTTGCTTTTCCATCATTTGTTGTGCACCAACAGTGGACAGTATAAAATAAGGTCGTAGAATACCCTTCTAGAACATTCCCTATCATTGATTCTTTACTGAAAAGCAGTTTAATTTCATTTATAACCTTATATTTGATATATGTCCCTCTCAAGGAAGTAATAAGAAAAAAAGCAAGAAATAATACAACAATGATTTAGGATCTAGGATCTATTTTCAAAAGTATTTTTCTCAGAAACCGTGGACTCTGATAGATCAGGTAAGAACAGAGCTGATTTCAACAAGACGAAGATGTCAGGGAGACTCCATGCGTTCCCATTTTCTTTAATGTGTCCAGGAGGACGTTTCCTTTCATGGTGTCTGCAAAGGGAGAGCTGGCACAGCTATTCCTATGTGGAGTGCCCCCTTCTTGGTCCTGCCCAGAGTCCTCCTGAGGTGCAGCAGCACTGACACCACCACCCTGGAGCCAGGTCCTTCCAGGTGCAGAAGGCCAGCTCCTGCTCTGCTGTCCTTCCTTCCCACATGATGCTTATGTCCCTGTGCAGGAAGAGAGTTTTATAAACCTCAGGCTGCCCTGGGCATGGGAACCACCCTGGCAAGGTAGGGCAGTGCCCACCCCAACCCATCTCTGGTTCATTACCCTTTTGTGCTTGATAGTTCTGTATGGAATTTTGTCAAAAGACAGTGACAAATCCATCTCCCCACATTAACACAAACGAAAATAGCCCTGAGTTTCTACAGCTTTGTTTCCATCTATACAGGTATTTGTGCATAAATATGAACCTGGCACTCTAGGTTACCAAAGGGGAGAAAGGCAAAGTCTCTTAGCCTCCTTATTCTCTCACACAATGTCATTTCCTCTGTTTTCACCCATTTTCCAATATAAACTTGATTTGATGCTTCGCTGTTGGACCTGTTTACTAATTGAATAAACAAAATTAGTTCAGATTCTTTGGTATTTACTTTATTGCTGATATAAATTCAAAAAAAGAAAGAAAGAAAGAAAGAAAGGTCCAAACTTCAGTTTGATGTTCAGTAGTGACATATTTGCCATTGATTTTTATTTTAAACCAAATCTTCTCTCTATAGACCTCATATAACAGTGTTCAGAATTGTTATTAAATCACCTCACCAAAAAAATGGAGTAGTATAAATAAGGCTACCTAAGATTAGAGGAACAGTTAGGGTAGCCCTAAAATATTAAAATAGATTTTACAGGAAAATTGTACCTAGCAAGTGTGGATTAGTTTTTTCCTTGTTTCTTAATCTTTTAACATGCGTGTCTTAAAAATTCAAAAAGAGCAGTATGAAACAGCTTATTATTGTGTTGCTCTGTTTTACAAGAGGGCGTGGAAGGAATATGGAGTAATCATCTGAGCAGATAAATAAGTATAATAATTATTAACATTAAAGTGATCACATTTTTAACCCCTATAGTGTGTTAAGCTTAATGAAACTACCAGCTGCCCTTCTGGTTTATTGGATTAGCAATTAGGTGAAAACATTGAAAGAAGACTTATTTATTTGGACAGATGTAGAGAGGTCAGAATTAATTTTTCGAAAACCTTTTAATTGAATTCCCTTTTAATTTTCACAGGAGTGTCTTGTTAAATATTCATGTTAATGCTGGTGGCTTTCTGAAGGTCTGAACTAGATCTGGATTCTCAAAATCAACATAGATTGTTTAACCCTTTTCATCTAGTGCGCCAGCAGGGACTTCCTGAGCATAATCCCACAGTATTTGAATAATTAGAAGGTAGTAATGAGGATTTAATTAGTCCTTGAGATATGCTGGAACACAGCCCCTAAGAACTTTCCCTTTCGGACACAGACAGTGCACAGAATCTATGCTGCTGCAGGTCTGTGATGTGCTAGGAAATGTATTCTGTGGCCAGAGGCATTTGTTTGGCACCATTCTTTGACTGCCAGATCCATACGAAGGGATCCTGGGTGGGGTTTTCCAGAATTATTGAATAGCTTCTCCTAGCCTTCACTGTTGTCCCCCTTGCTGACCAGATGTGGACCTCTGCCGTGTTGAGGCAGTCGCTGTCCTGGCGACATACAGGCTGGCTGTGCCTGCAGGAGAACTGGCTCTTGATGGTGCTGTGGTTGGTGGAGCCGGACCAGTGGCGCTTCCACTGTGGCTGTGGACTGAGAACAGAGATAGCACAATTGTGCATTTGTATGATGTCCTGGAATTTTTTCCAGCCAAACTTAGGGTCTTGGACAGCTATTTGTCAGCAGAATCACAAAAACTTCATCTTTCTGATCTTCTCAAAGTGATGTTTATTGGCAGTTGCATTTTTATAAATATGAATAGTGCTGCTGTCCAACAAGAGCACATCTCAGATGGGGTATGGTCCTGCCTTTTGATGTCCTCTTTGTGTGCTACCAAAAATAGTAAATTAGAATGTCTGTATTTCAGTAGTCTGAGATTTACAACTTATGTATTTTACTTAAACTGATTGAACAGTATATGTCTTCATTATTCTTTTTCTTTTACTATTAACCCCAAATGTTCACTGCCTTAGTATAATTTTATTCCCACCAATTAGTGGTGTACTTTTGTTTCCTTTCAATCTGAATAGAATTTCTCATCAGATTTTTAGTCACATCATTCAAGGATCGCAGATCTTTTCAAAGCACAGAACAACCAAATATTAGAACATTTCTGGTTCTCAAATTTAAAAAGTTTACCATTTTGCCAAAATAGAT